TCTAGCCATGCCATGCCTAAGATGAGGTCATACCTCGCATCCAGGCCTAAGACCAAACAGCGTTCCATGCTGTTAAAGTCCAAGAACTTTACATTTAAGTCCATCGGGACATTAGGTACCGTAACACGCGTACCAGTTGCTAAGCGAACGGTGACTGTGTCACTCTCACGCGCTATAAGCGCTTTAGCCTACTGCTGACTACCTTCCACGGTGGCACGGCGCACATAATTGCCCGATGCCCCCGAATCGATCAAAATGATCCATGGCTTATCAAAGCCCTTAATCGTCCATTCGACGACTAGCAAGCCTGGCTTGCATTCTCGTTCCGTTTTTGAGAGCTCGGATCTCTTTGGGGCTGGGCCCTGTTTACTTCTACCTCCTAGAGGTTCAACAGAACTCAGTTCTTCCACAGTAAGGCGCCCCGCGCCTACTGGGTTCCGCCGTTTCCCCGCGGCAAACCAGAAGGTTTACCCATGCAGCGTCGGCCCTTCGAGGCCAAATATGCCTTTCTTTCAGGGCATTTTGCCATCAAATGGCCTGTGCTCTTGCAGATATAACATCTGCGCACAATTTGCTGCTCCGCAGCTTGAAGCTCAGCTTCTTCATCCTCCACTTGACTACAGTCCATGGGTACAGACCCATCAGACGAGTAGTTATAAGTGGCAGGCCTAGCGGCCTTAAAGTTGGTCTCGGCATTTCATGCCACTCCAACATCTTCCTCAGATGAGGACGGGTTTACCCGGAAGACTTCTGTACTAACAACGCCAACTCGGAGTCCCTCCATGAAGACTGTTACGGTCACTGCCTCAGGCATAGGGTCTATGACAATGGCAGCAATGAGAGTTCTCAACTCTTGTACATATGCCGCAAGCTCACGCTTGCCTTGGCAAAACGCCAAAGACCGCGACGGGTTACGGTTTGCTTTGTTTGGCGGTGCATACTGCCGGGTCATCTTAACTTTCAGATCGGCCCATGTGGGAAAAGCATCTTGCAATGATGCACCACATGTGAATGCCCACTGTTTGGCTAAACCACCTAACTTGCCCGTGGCAAAGCTCACACGGTACGGTTCGTAGGTGATGTCGGCTATAAACATAGCCGACTCAACTTGTCGGAACCAAAGCATAAGGTTGTCACCTTCTTTGCCGTCGAACTTATCGACTTCCATTTGTATGGGTTTTGGTCTGCAGACCACTTCTTGCGGCATAGTCGCCATGGGCAAAGGCGCTGAAGAAGGCACATGTGCCTTTACATGCTCGACTAGAGCTTTATTATACTCTTCAAGCATTTTGAATACGCTTGTTAACCTCTTCTTCGCCCTGGGCGATAAGGTACCCCACGCCTTAGGGTCAAAGATAGGGAGCAGCTTCTTCAACCCTTCCTGTTGTGCCTGTGACAGGCCAACCGTTGACATCTCATCGATGTCCATTCTCACACAGAGAAGTAGTCGCAAACCCAGGTGCGATATTGACTACAATTGCTACCAGGTGTAGCCGAGCTACTGTAGCTACGCTACCTATGCACTATGTGCAGATGAACTATGTGCAGAAGAAGTAGTCAGACTACTGTAGCAAAGCTACTTATGCACTATGTGCAGAGGAAGACAAGCTCAGAGAGCTTCTACGTCTTAGGGTGCTTAACCCTCCTAGGCTAGCTCGCAAGCTTGTGCCTATCGGTTGTCACAACCGGGTCTCAAAGAGACTAGTATCAAAGATACGACTTCCTGTCATTCGAGGAAGAGCACGCTCAAGCAGTGATGCTTACAGAGCAGGTTTGAAACTGATTTATATTTATGTTAATCTTCTAAATATAGAAGCACCTACTCTCTACTTAGTGCTAGTCACTATTTACTGGCTCTATAGCCTATTACTATTATGCAAACATGTATAGTCACTATACTTCACTAAGTGTAGTGACCACGTGGCTCTCTGCCACGATGCGACCCTTCGTACCTTAGGTACGGTCACATCGAGCCTACTGTTTTACCCAAGGTACATCCACACCACATTGGTGTGGCAGGCATGTATATAAAATACACACCTCCGTGTAACCCCGTTACACCCTCCCTTACCAATCCGTGGGACCCGACGTACCCACAATTTTTCGTACTTATTGGGAATCATCGATTTTATTTTCTTCCCAGTTTGCTTGCCTCGCAATAAGTGCCTCGCACTTGCGCCCTGAGAAGCGCTTCGACAGTTTTGCCACCGACTCTCCGTCTACTGGACGATGGCTGTGTCCATTAGAGAGGTGACAAGGGCTCGTAGAAATTGGTAGGGTTAAACCTGGCAAAGCAAGACGTCCGGTTCTGCCGCGGCTGTTGCGTCCAAAACAGCAATTTTGCTCTCTTTCAGAGAAAACGTAACGCTGGTCTATGTCGGCAGAAGAAAAAACTCCGTGTCCCATTCCGTATTCCACTACGTATCGGAGACAGCTGGTAATTTTCCGCCAAATTGTAGATACATAGTTAGTGTGGAATCGTCCAGCTTGTAGGCAAGAGCTTCTAGCGACCACGCTTTGCCTCCTTCGCGCGTCGAGGAAGTGTGTGGTGGGGGTTGCAATCTTCGAAGACTTAGTAAGATGCAGATGTCGGCCTTGAAAAAGGGCGACATGGGGGAGCTCCGAGTAGACATGCTTTACTCGATGAGCTAGTGGGTGGCCCCTCGATCGACTGGATCGAGGGTAAGCTTATGACCAAATTCTTCAAGGGGAGATTCTCAACTCTGGCCATTTCCTTAGTTATCTTAGGGGTGTTACACGCTTGAACTTTAGTTCTCCCAACTACGAGGGAAGAGATAACTCATCCGATAGCGGGTCGGTAGGGGGTGCTACTCGAGACGAAGCTACATGCCAAATCACAACTCTTCCTGCACACGCCTTGATTCGTAGGCCTGTGCGGTTACGCTGACCTGTAAGTCGTGTAGAATTTGACGTACAGCATCAAAGCTATCCAACGTGGTCGAGGAGTTGCTCGATGCGGCAGCCAGCGGAGCAGAGGAAACTAGTGGGCTCTCGATGTCAACAACGTCAGCCGAGCTCCTCGACGGTAGTGCAGACAGAGTGTTAGCAACGACCGATAAACTTTCGTCGCGATCAGCCTTAGACAAGACTGTCGGTGACAGTTCGGGCATAGGTGACTTAAAAAAGGGTCGATCGGAGGCAAGGTGGGGACTGAGACCGGTGATTCAGCCACGGGTGCAAGAATGAACGAGGTCAGTCTTACAGGCAGTGAGTCTAACCCAAGTGAAGTCGTCGCTAGAATCACAAGATGTCAGTTAGGGAATATCCAACTAAAGCGAGCAGAAGAAGTTTCGAGACGAGCAATTTGAAGACATGCGCGTGCTCAAACAGCTGTATCTTGAGCAAGTACAGGGGGCAGCTGTGGTGAAATGCTTCAAAGAATGTGGGAGTCCAAGGAACGGTAGAATCCCACAGAGAAGTGACCGTTGGACGATAACTCAAGGCAAAAGAATATCTTAAAGGGGAAGTGACCGATGGATGAGAAGAACTCGAGATCGAAGATTCCTGGCCGGGTGCCAGTAAATTGGCCCTAAAATTAGTGGACCGCGGTTTTATATCGGTAGACCACGGTCTCCCAAGGTAGCCCTCGGTATCCCTCGGTTTTATTAAGGTCATTCTAGGTCCCGCAAGGTCGACTCTGGACCCTCATCGGTCGACCTCGGTCGCTCAAGGTCCACCCTGGATCCTAATCGGTCAGCCTCAGTCTGTCAAGGTCAAGCTACTCCCGGCCAATCAACATCACGAACCAGGGTTTAAGGCAAGGATATTCCAAAGGAGTTAAGCTTTTAAAATATATTAAATACTACTTAACTTGAGATCAACGTGGCACGGATTGATCCCGCTTAAAAAGAACTTATTAATTATACCCACGACGGAAGTCTTCCGTATTTATCCGTCCACTTTTGAAAAGGCTGTGGAAGTGGCGCTGAACGCTGAGTCAACTTTAAGTCGGCTCGACTTGGTTGGAATGAGTACAGCCCTATCTCCTTGAGCTCTGTGGTCCGTCGAGCGGGCCTTTTCCGTTGGACCTCAGAAACGCTGAAAATGTTCATAAGGGGATTCATGCTTTTGAGAAGTATTGAGGCATCCGCCGAAGCTATACTTGTTGAAGTACTAAGAATCTACTTCCAGGATACAGCGCGGGAAAAGCTAACTTTTAGTGAGTGCAGGGCGCCCTACCTGGGTAAAACTGTGTTCTTTGAGCCTCGAGGAGGTAATGGGTAGACAGGGTTTACTCCCATAGATTTTCGTACTCTGTAACATGGAACATGTAGGCAAGTCAGGTTTTCTAAGAGTCACATCTATAGTGAAAAACTTTGATGGACCGTGGATAATTTAAATTGATTTTGGAGCGTAGGGAAACTATGCACGACGCTTGTTCTTCGGAGAAATTCAACAATATGATAAGGTGATAGAAGCACACTATCACTGTTCGTCTAGCGACAATGGTGAGGATTACGGTGACCAAGGCTCCTGCGGACCTTCGATGGCTCTGTGAAGTGGACATCGCTATTCAAGAGGCGTAGAGATTTTGTACTTCGATAGCGTAGAATGCAGTCTAGTCCTTGACCCGGATGCTAGATAGTTTCTCATCTTAGGTATGGACTGGCTTGAACGCCATGTACCATAATTTATTACTGGTATACGGCCTTGGAAGTTACGCACTTTGTACCTAGTGTAGTTTTGGCGAGCGATCTACCTCTGCTTGGAAACAAAAATACAATTATTGTGAGCACCATACCGAATCGTTCAATGTGCTGAAAATTGAATGTAAAAGCCAGTATGATCTGACAATATCACGAATATGAGTCACGAGCTATGCTCAACGATTCTCTGTAGAGCGGCATGTACTCCTTTGAGTGATTTTCGTTGCAATAACGAATCACTAGACGTCATGGATGACAATATTGGCCAAGATCTGAGGCATCAAGGGCTAGAGCCCGCTGATGCGTGTGAAGTGGCATGAAATCCATTGAGTGATGATGCTTGTGACGGCCGGCATATCACCAAATGTCATGAATGATATTGTCGGCCTAGAGCGAAGGCACCAAGGGCTTAACCCCGCTGATGCACATGGAGTGACACGTACTTTGCTGAGTGATGTGGCTGGTAGTAGCGCATCACTGACGACTAAAAATATCATTTATGGTGTTATTGGCCATGGCCCTGATAGTCAGGAGCATCACCTTGCTGATGTAAGTTCAGCGGCACATGAACCACTGGGTAAAGAGTGTGAGTTATGCAGCTCTTCACCAGATGTCGAATGTGGACATCGGCTCTTTGATGGAACAACATATTGTTAGACCTGTCAACCTTGGGGGTGTATCGACCTCGACCGCTTTTGGGCGTATAGCCTCCGCAAGGAGGCGGCATGGTGGCTGCGAGACGCAAAGCGTCTGTCATATCTCGTATCAATAATAATGAGCAATTATACACACTTGATAATGGTATAAATAATTATTTTAGTAATCAAGTCAGCCTAGAAACTGTTCACCCACTGGATGTTCTGCTATAGCTCGACAAGCAGTCGGTTGAGAAGTTTAGGGAAGCTTTAAGGCTGGGGATTTGGTTGACATGGTTGTCATACGACCTGACGAGGAGTTGAAATCGTCTTCGCTTATAAATGAAGCAGTCCTGGAGGTCACTCAGTGTGCGTAGTTGGTCAGCAATCCTTAGGGATCATCGAATCCTCATTTTACTTTGGTGAAGGAGTTTCAAGACCTTTGTCCATAGTCGTTCCAAGCGCAAGAAGTCAGATGTGGAAAGTTACATCGACTATTACGAGCTTTGCTTGAGTGCATGCGCATTAATAAGCTGTATACAAATGCATCACAGTGAATCGCTTGCGCCGGAAGGATACCCTATCTAGTGTGCTCCATTGGAAGCAAGGCTATTGAGCGGACCCCGCTAAGGCGAAGGCCATTGTCAATTGGCCGGTTACTTAGAATCATAAATGCTCACGGAAATGGCTTATCCTTCCCAAATACTGAAATAAGTATAGCGAGAATTACGCTGATATGGCAAGGCAATTGTCTGATCTTCTTTAGGAGGACGTTGGGTAGTGTTGAAAATTTAGAACACCACAATGCTTTTGAAGCGGCGAAGGGTAGTCTCCTTTACGCTTCGATTTTGGTCTTGTCAGATCCTGAGCGCCCTTCCAGTGTCGTTAGTGGGACACGTCTGATTTTCCATAGGCAGTTCATTAGTGCAAGCTGACGCTGATGAGATGAGCTTGTGATCGCTTTTGAGTCTAGCCAGCTCAAGGCTGCAGATAAAACTAGCCAGCTCAAGGCTGCACAGAAAAACTACCCAGCTCATAAAAAAGAGCTAATTGCTATGAAGATGATTTTTTAAGTTCAGAGGTCATCTGCTTGGTTTGAAGGTCTTTGTGATCTATACCGATCACGCGGCGTTACGCACTACGACCTAGTCGTCTCACCTGTCGCAGAGAATGGCCTGTTGGCTTTTATTCTTTGCTGAATATACCTTCAAGGTGAAGAAAGTATAGTCCGGGACAGAAGAATGCTTTGGCTGATGAATAACATATTCACGCAGACCCGATTATGAGATTGCTCAAGTGATGACACTGTCATCTTTAATCACAGGATTGATCCGTGCTGTATATGCACAAGATAAACATTGCGTAGCTCTCCCACATGCTCTTGGGAGCAAGAAACTTAAATACTCGGACAAGGAATTGTCGGTGTACTTGCGTGCAGGGCTACATCGATATTCCATCGATCAGGGCCTGTTGTGCTATCGACGGAAGGTAAGGACACGTTTTGCTGCGTAGTTCCTCATCATGGGTGCTGAAATATCGAATCGTCTATGAGACACATGATACTGTCATCAGCGGTCATTTAGGCCGTGAGAAAACTTACAGCGCCGTTAGCCGGAATTATTGGTGGCTCTCTCTTGTACCAATAGGTGAGCACATATGTGCGTTTGTGTGAGTTGTTGTCAAAGGGCGTTACCTGCACCACACGTGGCTGCGCCACTCGCAAGCCTACCCTTACCCTTTGGGTGTGGGATTCCATGAGTCTGGATTTTGTGTATGGTCTCCTGAAGGATACCAATGACAGCACTGGTATTGTGGTCTTGGTTGACTGATTGAGCAAGATGGCTCATTTAGCGGCTGTGCCGGACTCAGTTGACGGTGAGAGTACAGCAACGCTGTTCATAGATCGGATATTTTGCTAACACGGTCTACCCCATTGTTCAGATATAAATCCCCATTTTACTAGAAAGTTCTGACAATCGGTGTACAAGGAACTCGTCACCAGATGAAACATGTTCACGGCGGATTATCAGAAGACCGATGGTCAGACTGAACGCGGAAATCGCGTTGTTGACAATAAAATTTGTAGTGTTTGTGCTGAAATGCCGCGGCGTCAAAAAGGGTTGGCAGCAGCAATTACGTGAGAAGGATTGCTTTACCTACCTGCGATGGTAGATGCGCGTGGTAGTCAACGCTTTCTTGTTGGGGGTACTTTGGGTACCGCCGGAAGAAGCAAAAAGATTCAGATCTTTGTTGAATGAAGAAAATATTCGATATATTTTGACTCTTGCAAGCCTATTGACGCGCTTTTCGTCGACGTACTGGGGCTTGTGACGGTTTATGAGCAAGATAACCAGCTACAGCCACTACGCTATGTCCAGTAGAACCAGCGAGGGCAGCGTAGCAAGGAGGAGCAGGAGACACAATCGCTTTTCTTGCACGCGCAATTGACAAGTTGGTTCGTTGCGACCGTTGTACCACTGCATCTGTACGGTTTGACGCGGCACAGGAATTTCTCCTCATATTGATAGTTTTGTTCTTGGAGCGCAATACGATCTGGATAGGGTTAATGCGACAAGCCCTTTTCCCTGCGACTTTCAATTCCAAAAGACGTCGTAGTATTTTAAGAGCGTCGATAGTGGCACTCGCTAGAAGCGGTGCCGCTGTACCATATGCCTGTGTCCGTTAGGATGGCGGTGGTATCGGGTAAATATCGCCGCAACCATAACGTCTTTCAATACGACGCGCGTATGGTACCGATGGAGCACACTCTGTGGTCTTCGGTGGAGTTTTATGCTTGAGTTCCTCTGAGTCGGATTGTCTCAACTTTAGATGGCGCATTTGACCCGTTCAAGAAGCAACTGCACCTTACGGACAGTGTTATCAGTGATGGTCGCTGTGATCGTTGGCGCAGACGACGAAACACTTGCCGCATTGACGAAAGACAAGGAAACATTTGCAACATTAGGAGTCTCCATGGTAGAAGCCATTTGAGAATTTAAAAAAGGTTTAAGAGGCATCTGCGGTCAAGTTCTGACACGACGAAAGTTGGCGCCGACGACAATGAAGACAGAGGATTTACACATTTACTTCCAACTTTGAAGGTCTCAGACATGATCACAGAAGTAAGCCAAAAGACTGCTGGCAATTTTAGGAAATATTACACATCCGAAGAACCAGAAAGCCTTTGATATACGTTTTGGAAGGCTACAGCTTAACAAGGTATCAGACTACGAGGGTGCAGAACAACTCATTAATTTCGGCAAATTCAAAACTGGGTCGATGATGAGATAATGTGAGCAAGAACAAGGAGGAAGCCATAACAGCCATGGTTTTAACGCTTTTCGTTCGGCGACCAAGAAAAATCAGTCATGATTCGAACGGCTGGAAAAAGGCAAGGGAAAACATATCAAGATGCCGCCGTCTTGTAAGAGCTTTTGCTAAGTGAATGGATGAAAGCTGTTTGCTAAGTGAATGGATGAAAGCTGTTTGCTTAGATACTCTTTATTGTCTATTAACTTTTGATAAGACGGATACCAACTTTGGTTCAGTCCGCAGCTGATACATTTTATTGACGAAGCGAAAAGGCAAAGAAAGATAAATTCAAGCTGCTGTTTGAGATATTCAATCCGTGGTCCAGCGACGAGAATTATGTACAAGATTTTAGCGGCTGGAAAGACGATTCCGGCTAGGCGGTGATACATGAATCCGAGGTCAGCTTAGTAACGCTGCATGTTGGCTTTCATAACGAGAACAAATTGCTCTATCTTTACAGAGGAACAATCAAACTACTCTGTCGTTAAAGTGACTACAAGTGCTACCAAGTGCAGCGGGACTGCAAATGACAAGCGCCGAAGGAAGACTTAGAGTCTCTTAGTTCTGCGAACTACCAATTCTATACAAGAGTCAAAGAGATATAGACTTTAATAAGGCTGTAGTCTTATTGGTTAAAATGCAAATCTGAACTTTATTATTCCTTGCGGCTATCGCTCATTGGCTAAACATGCAAGCTTAACAATATAATACATGTGTAACGCCATCCTTTATATATGTTGCGTACCTTATGTTCTCTTCATTATGTGTCTTACACTATAACGTAATGTGTGACACGTTACAGAAACGACATAAACATGGATTAAAAAATGGCTACTGAACTCATACTATCCGTAGAAGAGGCATGGATACAGATTCGAATTGCAATTTATGAAGCCGTCAAGATAGAAGATATGAGAAATGAAGAATGCAGTCTTTATTTTCTATTATCGTGGCATAACGACACTCAGTGCGACAAAGGTATTAGATATATAGAGATATGACTGCGTATGTAATTCTGAGCTATTGCAAGCAGGCACTCGGAATTGAAAAGTACCTAGTAATACTATAGTTACCACACAATTTAAACAAACTATCCATAGATAACACTACCAAGGATGGAGTCTGAATTTGCTTTGTATGTGATGCATAACAGCATTATGGAATTTAATTCGTATTCATTGCAGTGCATATCCAAGTAATGGTGGAAGTATATTCAAAGAAAAAGCATTACTAACACTTGCATGACGTCCGCATCATCGACACAAAGCGACAGAGTGAAAGTGTAGCAAGTTCTTACGAGCAAATCCACGATTGAGAGAAGGTCATTCCAGCGCACGACAAAGATGCAGTCAATCCCAGTCGCGCGCGAGCCATCATCTACTGACATACGAGTGGGATTGAAGTCCGTTATGTATGACAGAACACTACGCTGGTTGACAGAATGAATACAGGGATAGACAGCTGTAGTTGTCCTACATCCAATGGGTCCAGCCAGCCGGCTTGATGACATGCTTGCCCTGAACATAAATTGTTTTCAGTTAGACCTGTTTTGCAGTCAAATAGCGCGCAGCTGACATTGAAATGAATGGAACTGAAATCGTGCCCACACATGCGCAGTCACAGCATACTTAAACGCACGAGATCTGATGGATGAGATGTTTCAATTTTTATTATACAACACATGTCAAAACAGTGAAAGAACCGTGTACTCTTAACTACAATATGTATCAGGTAAAACCAGCAATGAGGTGGTATGATTATCTGCAATCCAGCGTATCTACGCTGTCAGGACTCAAGGAAAATGGTGTTCCAAGTGATAGACAAATCTCGGCAAAAATTGTATCTCGTTGACGATGCTGTTGTAAGCTATCAAGAATGTAAGGTGAACAGGCAAGCAGCACGCACTTAGCACGTAACATGTAGTCTTTTTCACATAGAGGGTAATATTTGCACGGTACGCTATGTCTCCTAGAGGTTTAATACGAGTCAACGGCATTTACACATCAGCATCAAAAGTGGTCTCGTCTGTTCAAATGTTACGTACGTCAGGGTAGATACGTTCAGAGCAGTAGAAGAGGAGAGCAGCATCATTGAAATTCGAAGCAGTGCAAGACAATGACTGAGAATCTAATAGTCAACCCCTTATTAGTGCAATATACTAACAGACATGCAATAAAGACTCGTGACCAAGTCGGCAGGAATAGCTTCAATGCCGGTAAATTTGAAACAACTTCAATCTGGTCCCACTGACTCTTCCAGGCATTCAGTCCTTTATGAGCAGAGAGTCTCACAAAGCAGTTTATCACTGGACGCATAACGATTGGTTCATGTTATCTGGCTTGATATTGTATTTGTAGGCTCAGCTGCTAGGAAGAATGAAATGAGAAAGTGTGAACCAGTTTGTCTGAATTTTCCATTTCTGATGAATGGGTTCGTTTGTACTTAGAAAAGGCGTCATAACGAATGACTTGTAATACGTCGCTTGCGAGCATTTACGTGAAAGAAAACGAGGGATATATTGTATCTCACAGATTTTTGAGTCGTAAACTGCTTTATACCGCAAATGATTTGAGACCTTTGACCTTACCCGGATTGTTCGGATCAGTACTAAACCCAATTGTTGTACAATCTTCCCCAATCGTCATGATTACCAGCATTTTCATGTAATCAGTATTAGCTCCCATTAGCGGCTTTAAAAAAAAGCCAGCTCAAGAGCTGATGAATCTGGTCGAAGAACCCTCGACTCTTCAAATCCGTTGATCGATGCTATGATTGGTTGTTGTGACATAGTCCATTGCTCTACCAATAATAGGACTTGAAAGCAGACGACAGACAGCCAGATCAAACGGTTTCCCGTCATCTCTCAACCAAAAAAACGATTTGGTTCATTCTGCAATTTGCAATTTTCGTGTCACTTGATTCTTTTCAACATTTGCTGCAGCGTTGTGAAGTAAGAAGAGGTTTTTCTACTGCTGTTTTTTTTTCAGTTCACTACAAACTAAAAGCCCATCATTACAACAATGGCTGGTGGTGGTGGTGAACGTAATTCTTACTTGTCTCTGGCAACTCCAAATGATGTTAAGAATTATACAAATGATGTAGGACAAGTTCAATGGGCTCAAGTTCCATTAAATGCAGCATTAGATAAATTAAAATCATGTCGTGAAGGTTTAACATCTGATGAAGCTGAGAAACGATTAGCTGAGTATGGACCTAATAAATTACCGGAAGAAAAAGTGAACAAATTGAAATTGTTTATGGGATTTATGTGGAATCCATTATCATGGGCCATGGAAGTCGCTGCTGTGCTTTCCATTGTGTTATTGGATTATCCTGATTTTGCACTTATTCTGATCCTATTGCTACTTAATGCATGCATTGGATATTTGGAAGAAGTTCAGGCTGGTGATGCTGTATCAGCCTTAATGGGTCAATTAGCACCTGAAGCTAAAGTATTTCGTGATGGAGAAATCAAAAACATTCCAGCAGATTTGTTAGTACCTGGTGATGTCATCCGTGTACGTTTGGGTGATGTGATTCCAGCTGATCTCAAGTTCCTCGAGGGTGATGCTGTTAAAGTTGATCAATCCTCACTCACTGGTGAGTCATTACCAGTGACAAAGAACGAGGGAGATGAAGGGTATTCTGGTTCGGTGGTAAAGCAGGGTGAGATTGAGGCTGTAGTGACAAGCACAGGTATCAACACGTTCTTGGGTCGTGCTGCGGAGAAGATCGCGTCCGCGGACTCGCACGGCCGTCTGCAGATGGTGCTGACAACTGTGGGCAATTTCTGTATGGTGTCGATCCTGTTCTGGTGCGTGGTGGAGCTAATGGTACAAATGGCTGGTCGCTCGTCACAGAACCCGTGTGTCATCGTGACGGACGGCTGTCTGGGTGTTGCCAACATTTTGGTGCTGATTGTTGGCGGTATTCCCGTGGCCATGCCGACTGTCTTGTCGGTGACGCTTGCTATCGGTTCGTCGGCTTTGGCCAAGGAAAATGCCATTGTGACGCGTCTGACGTGCATTGAGGAGATGGCCTCGATGGAGGTGTTGTGCTCGGACAAGACGGGTACACTGACATTGAACCAGCTCTCCGTGGACATGGACAATTTGATTCCTTACAATGACTTTACGACGGCTGACATTCTGAAGTACGGCGCTCTGTCGGCTCGTACGGAGAATAATGAGGCTATTGATGTTGTGTGCCACAACACGTACCCTGGTCACGCTACTATGTGGGATGAGTACACGCTGCTGCATTACACGCCGTTCGACCCGACGACGAAGCGCACGATTGCAAAGTTGAAGGACAACCGGACTGGCGAGATCTTCCGTGCCGTAAAGGGTGCCCCGCAGGTGGTGTTGGACATGGACGTGAACGCGAATTTTCTTCGCGCGGAAGTAGAAGAGCGCATTGACGAGTTTGCTTCACGCGGTTATCGTGGTTTAGGTGTGGGTATTTCTCGCAGTGGTGATGTTCCTACGGAGGAGTGTGAGTGGCATATGATTGGTCTGTTGCCACTGTTCGATCCGCCTCGTCACGATACGGCCGACACGGTGAAGAAGGCCATTGCTTTGGGCATTGCCGTGAAGATGGTAACGGGTGACCAGAAGGCTATTGCTGTGGAGACGTGCCGTCAGCTGGGAATGCCTACAAACATTTTGGACACTTCTTTCTTTAACACTGCTCCTCCTCCTGGACTGAATTTGGCGCAGATGATATATGACACGGACGGTTTTGCTCAGGTCTTTCCTGAGCATAAGTTTGAGATCGTGAAGCACCTGCAATCATTGGACAAGGTTGTGGGTATGACGGGTGATGGTGTGAATGACGCTCCAGCCCTGGCTCAGGCCGACATTGGTATTGCTGTGGATGATGCTACGGACGCTGCGCGCGCTGCTGCCGATATTGTTCTTGTTTCTCCTGGTTTGAGTGTGATCATTACGGCCATTCGCATGAGTCGTGAGATTTTCCTGCGCATGAAAAACTATGCGATGTACTCTATCGCGATGACCGTGCGTATTGTGTTTACGTTTGGTATCCTGACGGTTGCGTGGAACTGGTACTTCCCTCCTATTCTTGTGGTGATTCTGGCTATTTTGAACGATGGCACTATTTTGACGATCTCGAAAGACAACGTGGTTGCGTCACCGTACCCGGACTCGTGGAAGCTGAAGGAGGTGTTTATCTCTTCGATCACGTTCGGTCTGTGGCTGACTCTGTCAACGATCGTGCTGTTTGCTGTTGTTAACAACTCGAGTGGTTTTGAGAGCACTGGTGCTGAGAACCTGTGCGTGAGCTGCATGAAGGACCATTGTCACGACTTTTTCCAGAACCAGTACCAGGCATGTGTGATGGACAACAACGCAACTGGCTGTGGTGAGATGACGGGCAGTGTGCCGGAGGCAGCTAGTTTGATGGACGTGGGCACGTTCCGCGAGAGCGCTGTGAACGCTTACTGGACCCGTTACGAGTCGAAGTATGACTCTCGGTCGAAGTTATTTGAGGACTTGGCTGACTCGCACCTGAACTCACTTCCTAACGACGCAAAACCTTCAGCTGAGGTTGCTTACAACCAGTTCGTGTACGCGTATACTCTGGGCATGGGTGGTGCTGCTTACGATGGCGACTACGACGTGTTTAATGCTGCTCAGCTTGGCAGGGGTGTGAGTTTTGTTGGCAAGGGTGAGGTGCCTGTCACGAACGAGGTCAGTTTTTGCGACTACGTGTGGGGCTTTAGCAACTGGAACTCGACGTGGACACGCGACAACGAGATGATTGGTCCTGGCATTCAACGCAAGGAAGGCGTGCTTCGATCGCTGGTGTACCTGCAAGTGTCCATTTCTGGTCAGGCTCTGATCTTTGTGACGCGTACGGCCGGCAGCAACAACTGGTTCTTTGCTGAGAAGCCAAGCAACCTGTTGCTGTTTGCGTTCGTGTTCGCTCAGGTTGTTGCTTCCGTGGTGGGCTGGATTGGCTTTGGCGGCTACCCGACGGACCGTATTGCTGTAATTGGTTGTGGTGGCATTTACACGCTGGTTGCGTGGCTGTGGGCGATTGTGTGGCAGTTCCCGCTTGACGTGATCAAGTTTGCCGTGAACTACATCCTGACGAAGAATGCATATGCGAACAAGGCGTTTACGGAGCGCATTAACGCCGGTCATCCGACAATGGCGCACTCGGCAGTGACGAACGCACAGCGTTCCATTCGTGCCAGCCGCACCGTTTAAGCAGCCTCTGGTTGTTGCAGAAGCAGTGGCTGTTGGAGATCGAGGAGTTGATGGAAACCTTTGCATCGATGCACGCACGATACGGATGGGCTTCATATTGTCTATTCGTCATCCGCGATGTAGACAGACTGTAATTTTCTTGCGGTGCTTTGCTGTAGAATATAAGAAAAGCTAACGGAAAGCAACTCGTTTTTTTAATCAAATCTCTGCTGTCTTAATGCCTTTTGACTTGCTGCACTCGTTTGCATGGGACTGAGATGAGGAGGCGATCTGACGCATGATCGTATTCTGGTATTTTTATGCTGGTGAAAGGATGAAGCAAGCAATGCCTAAAGTTCGTCTAAGCTTCAGTCCTGTCACTGTTGCATGAATAAATCAAAGACTTACTGCTTTCTTGAAATCGCCAGGCTTAAATGAAGCAGCACTCGCTTGTTGATTTGCTCGCCGTACATAGCAGTTTGCTTTGCAAAGTGGTGAGCAATGGTCACTTTGATGACATCGTGTTAAGCTTCGTCTTATCCACTGTCTGAGCTTTTTCTGGCTGTCCTTGAAGCAATACTACCTCTATTGTAACGAGATGATCGGCGTACGATGCCAGCTCAATCTTGCCTCTTTAATCACCAGCGTAGTGCTCCTTACAACACTGCAAAACACAAAATGACTTTAGGTGTCCCTGCTCTGGATTAGTGCAAAGTCGCACTCTTTGCAACTGCATCAGTTCTCAACGAACAGGCGCGCATGATGGCTTGATTCAGTGGCTGGACTACCTCACGCTCCCTCTACACAAGCCGTTTGCCAACGGCGGCAATGGACGCCAGCGCCTTGGATTCAGTGGGCTGACCACCGTCGTCAAAGAACCCATAGCCTTTGAATCTTGCCATCGCTGCTTCCTTCTTGGCAGCCGTGCTATGTGGAAAGCGTATTTCCTCTTCGTGCATCAGCAGGTCCTGCACACGCAGTAAGTACGATTCGAGGTTCTTGAGATAGCGCTCGGTCTGGCGGTGCCGTGACGACGCACAAAACTGGATACCCTCATCCTTAATAATGTAGCCAATGCCAAATCCGTCGGGCACAACGGGACCAAAGCCGAACAAGCGTAGGCTTGGGTTACCGCAGTTGCTCGTTGACAGCACCGAGTGATTAAGCTTGCGCCAGGCGTCATCTGCAAACAGTGCCGGCGTGATCTTGCTGCTGTCGACGGCTTTCTCGTATTGCCACAGGCACTCAAGAGCGTAAAGATGGCGCTCAGGGCCCTTGCCAGCTGCACAGTCGCGTACGTTGCTAACGTGTGTAGAGATCGCCTTGCGCAAAGACCCAATCTTTTCAAGCGGCGTCCTGTCCGAGAAAAATGTTTTGACGAATTCGAGCGCGTCAACTGTCATGGCTCGCGCAGCTTCTGTGCGACCGTGTAGGAAGCGCTTGGTCAATACAGGCTCGTAGATACACGGTGCAGTACCATATTGGAAGTAGTAGGCAGCTATGAAAGCCATTTGCACGAAGGCATCGGGGCTCATCTTGTGTTGGGTGATAAATAGCTTGCCAAATGCCGTAAATTCGAGCACTTTGACTTCGTTCTGCAGAATGAGATCTGTTAGCTGCGCTTCCGCGAACTTAATGCCGTCTTGCAGCTCACGGTCCAGCTCCCACTCAAGCTTATGCGGTTGCACGCGTGGGCGATCAGGCGCATCTGCCGGTCTCAGCTGCGGTGCACGGTACGACGCCTCCAAGAAGGCGTAGTTGCCTGCGCGGATGGTTTGTGCAAACCGAATGATTGTGTCTGTGAACACGTCCGACACAAAGCGAAGCACCGTGTGTCCGTCAACAAACGCGTGCTCAAAGTTGCACCCAGCCACGCCGTTCTCGCATACGATGAGCTGAAGCTTGTCGTACCATCGATTCATACACGTTCCCGTCTGTACGCCATCTTTGGTGATGCTGTAGGTACCGTGGAGTGCCGTAGCAGCAAATGATGCGGCGTCTGGTGGTGACGTGGTATCTAAACACACGAGAAAGAGCGCGCGATCAATGACGGCCAGCGTGTCTTTGTTTTTAGCCTGCAGCTTGGCTCGCAGTTTGGCCCATTTGGGACGACGTTCTGTAGTAAGCACACCTACAGCACTGGACGCGGCTTCGACGTCATTAGCTTTGAGTGCGTCTTCGTGAATGACCTTGAGATTAGCCAACAGCTCTCTCTCTGTAATAGCCGTAACACCGTCTTCCCAAATGACATCAAACCAGTAAAACTGGTTGCGACAAATTAATACAATGTGTTTTGATAATTCATCTACCACGACACTATCTGCACCATCCGATGGTACACGGGCGCATCCAAAGAGACGTTTGTATTGATGCATACAAAGTGCAATCTTACCTCGCCACATATCTGGTTCAAGTGTACCTCTTCGTAATGCATGTATAAACTTGAGTGCACCCATAATAAGTGACGTCACCCTTGAAAGTTGATTGTTTCGTGATGGTGTTGGATCATCTTCTAAGACAAAAAACGGATTGACATTGAGTACAACCGAGCTCCGATGATTTAAATAAGCTTCATACCAAAAGTCTTCAATAAATGACACTTTGTTTTTCTCATAATTCAATAGTTTTTCATGTAGACGTAGTCCATCCTGTTGTAAAAACTGCTTTACATGACGTTGTGTGATTTGGTGTTCTTCAGACGTTTGTAGTGCCTTCACAGATGCTAAATAACGTTGACATGTTTCTTCTAGTGTAGGAATTGGTAATTTAGGTAGTTCTTTCTGATGACAAAATGTTATCGATTCGTGGTCGGTTGGTAAACGCCACGTAGAGTTCGTGGATACGTCATTCTTGTCATTAGGATTAATCATGATAAAAAATAACAAGAGCTTGTGCACTTGTACATAAATTTAGAAATGACTGAGTTAATGTGGCGACATTTACAATCAAAGCGATAATTAAGGTATTTATTCACTTACATGATATCGTGGCATAGCTTTATTATAGAAACTGCTGCAACTTACAGACCGTATTATAAAGACAAAATACGGAAACTTTAATCGATCACTTGACAATGTCATTGTTTACGTAGATGATCAAAAAGCCCTCTACAAAGCAGCTTTGTAGGCCGTAACTACATGACTGATAATCTCTTTCACGCCATTTTCCTGATTAATCTGCGAGAAAACCGTCGGTCCATTGCCACGCATCAGCTTTGCATCACGATTCATGACGTCTAAATCCGCACCCACATGCGGAGCCAGGTCGATCTTATTGATGATCAGCAAATCTGCTTGGGTGATGCCTGGACCACCTTTACGAGGCACTTTATCACCTCCAGCTACATCAATGACGTAGATGATGTAGTCAGCTAGCTCGCGGCTAAAGTTGGCAGCCAGATTATCTGTGAACAAGCGCAGCACACATAAATAAAACTACAGTCAAAAACACTCATGTCTTGCAGGTCAATCAATGATCACCATACTGTGCAAACCACACACACACACCTCCTCCTGATTCGACAAGCAGCAGTTGTGCATCAAACTCGTCAGTCAGATCCTCACAGGCCTGCAAGTTGGCTGAGATATCCTCGCGGATGGCTGCGTGGGGGCAGCCACCTGTCTCAATAGCCCGAATACGCTCTTTTGGCAGCGCGTCGTGGCGCACGAGGAACTCACCGTCCTCGCGCGTAAAGATGTCATTGGTCACAGCGGCTAGACTGAACTGATCCTTAAGCGCGCGACAAAGTGCCAGCATGAGTGCTGTCTTGCCACTGCCCACGGGGCCACCAATACCTATGGTGAAAGCCCGCTGTTTCCAGTCTCGGCCTGGTTTGGCTGCATCACGCTCGTGAAATACACCAGCGTGTTCCATGTACTCGTGTGTATGGCCGTGCTCGCGCAACTGTTGCTCTTCATCAGGCGTTGGCGTGCGGCCACGGCTCTGCGTAAAGCGATGCACTACCTCGTCCCCGTCGATGTCATGCTCGTGGCTGTGGCTATGATCATGACTGTGACTATGATCATGTATATGTTCCATTGTATGTGGGTCGTTCTTTCTGTGAGGTTGATAGCAAATTCCAAAATGAGTGAAAAAAAGCTTGAAAGATTTCGGTTGCGATGATGGGCATCATTCACCAATAGAAATGCATGACCACCTCAACTGCTATCGTAAGTCGAAACATTCTTTCAATTACAAAGCTATAAGGATCATTGTAACTTTCTAATGTATCGCAGTATTGATCGATATTAATACTCGACTGGTCATCAGCAAGCATAAAGTCGATTAGCTGCTCTTCAGCAACACGTAGAAAAAATAACCAAGACCAATATCTGCCAACAAAACAAAACAATTAGCACGTGACTACACTGCCAGCGGATACAAAGCAGCAGCAAACAAAGCGTACCTATTTTGTTATATGAGTAGTTCCAACCATAGACTTCGCTACAAGGCGCTTGCTCACCCTCGCCCAGCAGAAAGCGCTGGCGAAAGTGTGGTTGTGCAAACGAGATCTGGAGAAACGTCCCCTGTGGCACCAATACGGATGTAATACCACTGCACATAGCAGCAGCCTGCTGGATTACCGCCTTTGACGGTGACCAGACGTCGCCTTCATCGCACATGAGCGCGTCCATGGCAGCTTTGTCAATGACCACGTCGAAGCTCTCGGGCGCAAAAAAATTGGACAATTTGGTCATGTCTACCTCAAGCCACTTCATCTGGGGCATTCTCTCCTGCAATTCGTTACCGACCAGATTAGCCTGGTGCTCATTAGTTCCCCTACTGGCACTTGACTTACACTGTACTTGGTACGCATTCGTTCAATAACAACCTTCGAGAAGTCAATGTTTGTTATATGATGATAACCTGCATTGTACTGTCACACGAAATGGGACAAGACAATGAGAACAGGAAAAGAAGGACTTTTAACGGCAAATGATCGTACCATGTCAGCGCTGAACGTTGAATTACCACAACCAACCTATAGATTGAAACAAACTCACTATCTCGTCATTTTCCATATGTCGTTTGTTCACTCATCTATCAGTCACCAGACCAGTCATTTACCATTAAAATACGGCCCGATAGTTGCACATATTTACCCAATAACTCTGCCACGTTCTCAAAGCGGGCCAACCAGTCGTATGACTCTTCACTAATATTGACAGTATCCATCGAGAAATCAATTGTACAATTATGTACAATAGTCAGTTGTTGATACAGCTCACAAACATTATCAGATGAAGTCAGTACCTTTCAAAGCGTAAATCCCAGTATTCTTTTTCTTTGTACGTCCGGTTGGTCTCGGGCAGATATGCTGTCATTGTTAATTTGTCACTGATAGGAGTTTATTATTATATAGCCCGTTGTTATAGTTTTCTAGCATATGTTATGTCAAGATTGGTACTTATAACATAGTACGCTAAATTAAAGAGTCAATTAAGGCAGCCTTAAACAAAATCACATTGAGAGAATACAAGCATTTATTTATTTATACTTGATCGTATTAATTTATGGAGAGTAAACATGTTACTTTTGTCCACTTTGCACTGACCCATATTGGCTACTTGGCTTGACTGTGTATGCTGCAACAGGCGGAGGAAAACGTGTCGTTGGGGCTGCCGTTCTTGGCATCAATGTCGTTGGAGATATTGTGGTCGCCGCACGTGTTGGGGCTGAAGCTGGCGCTGATGTTCAAGTTAAGTACACCGGTGAAGGCGTTTTCGGTACTGAAGTGGCCGGCGCACGTGTGGGGGTAGAAATATTCGGCGTACGTGTTGGGGCTGAAGTGATCGGAGCGCGTGATGGGGCTGTAGTAACTGGCGCTAATGTCGCCAATTCTTCACTGTTTGGCGCAAGGGTCAATGGGTCTACAGCAGTCGGAGCCGGTGTCGACGGGGCTACAGTAATCGGCGCATCGGTCGGAGCTGAAGTCGTCGGCACCGGTGTCGGATGCGAAGTCGTAGGAGCAGGAGTCAACGGGGCTACAGTGTCCGGCGCATCTGTTGTTGCGGGTGACGTCAGTTGGCGTAGACGTCGTCAGTTCTTCACTGTTTGGGTCAAGGGTCAATGGGTCTACAGCAGTCGGAGCTGGTGTCGACGGGGCTACAGTAGTCGGCGTACTTGTTGGAGCTGAAGTGATCGGGGTACGTGTTGGAGCTGGAGTGGTCGGAGCGCGTGTTGGAACTGAAGTGCCTGGCGCCGATGTTACGGGTGAATACACCGGTGAAGGCGTCTTCGGAACCGATGCGGTCGGTGCACGTGTTGGGGCTGAAGTAGATGGTGTACGTGTTGGAGCCGAAGTGATTGGCGCGCGTGTTGGTGGTGCACGCGTTGGAGGTTCACGTGTTGGGGCTGAAGTGGGTGGGGCACGTGTTGGGGCGTAAGTGGGTGGGGCACGTGTCGTCGGGATCGGCGTAGTTTCCGATGCGTTCGAGACTGGGCAAGGGCTATTCTCGTTGGTCTCGTATCTACTGTCGTTATCCTTTGAATCGCCATCAACGCTGCCGTTCGAGTCGCTATTGCCGACGGACTTCTTGTCGTCACTCGTGTAAGTACCGCTATATGGCTTCACGCTGTATTTACTTTTAACACCCATGGTATTATTGTCGCCTTTCTTGACATTACTCTTGGAGACACCAGGTGCCAGATTCACGTCTTTCTGAGCACCCTTCTTGCCATCTACGTGGTCAAGAGTCCTTGGCGACAAAGAATGACCTACTGTCGCAATGTGTCCAATATTGTTTGCGTTTGTTGGACTAGCGTAAGAAAACTTGACACCTACGCTGTCTGGAGATGTAACTTTGCGCAACTTATTATCCGTCTGATTTTTCGCAGCGTACGCAGTCGAGGATAGCACACTGGTCGTGGTGGTTCCGTACGAGTCAGTCGTGTCAATGTAACGTCCGCCCTTGTCATGTTTGACTCCGTGAGTTGGGTTATTCTGACGCACTACATCAACTTTGGTGGATGCAGCTACAGTTGAAAGCGCAATGATACTCTGAAAGATAGTCTTGGGGTAAATCATTGTACACGGAAGATGAGAGCTGGAGCGGGCAGAGGCAACGAAAGTGTCGAAAAAGCTCGAAAGTGTCGAAAAATCTCGAAAGTGTCGAAAAAGCTCGAAAGTATTGAAAAAGCTCAATAGAGCTTTGGAGGCGAGTTTGAAAATGAGATTGCCTGAAGAACACCGCATGAAACACGATCTAAGCATCGAACTTATTCCACTTGCGTCAGTCACATCGAAGACATCGTACTAAATTAGCATCCTTCCTCTAATCTGGTTCACTATGCTACACCGAAAATAGCATTCCAAGAATAAACATCTTGCAGATGGTGGTAATCGCCAAAGTGCCAAAACTTTTTCAAGACACATTCGTCTAGTAAATACCCGCACACCGTATCGCTGTGCAGTGATAGCGCTATAGTAGTTGTCTATTGTTTTTTAACATGTGCAACAGCGTTAATGATTGTCCAATGCAAACATGATGCAAAAAACAATACTTTTTACTTGCTTGTTACGTCTGCTTCTTGTCAACTGCCGTAACAATGTGAAACAATGCAACAAAAACCTGGATCGGAACTTTGTATGTCTTCGTACTGTTAACTCTTTACGTCAGGTATCTGTCTGTTTTTAGCGTAACGTTTGTATACCTTTTACACTTAGTATAATACTTGAGTCGGTTAAAGGCGCACCTTATTCCAGCTATTTCTTTCTTGCTATTGACAAAAGGTGCTCGAATGTATACTTTTTTGCCACAGCTACAGTTTATTGTTGAGGTGCTACCTTGTCTGGGACCGACCGACTTGACCTCAGCCAAGACTGCCCGATAACTCTCCATTGCGTCAATTGCGTAGGAAGCTTGAATGTAGGAAGAATAGTAACTTATTTCAAGCAATCTGACGATTTTTATTGTAGCGAGGACGTTGATTTACAAATACTATGGCATGTTTTTTATAGTAACAGACCGTCTATTTCGAACGTAAGAATTGGCAAGATGTCTGGAGTGCTTCTACCAGGACGACGAAATTCTTCGCCTCGCTGGCTCAAAATCTGCTGGCTCAATCTGCTGGCTCAAAACGTTGGGCTTCACGGGGGACACTCCGCAAAGGGCACGTGGAATTGGTATCCAGCCCGGGGTGTAGACAGTGGCTCTATGATCGCAACAAACGCAGGACACCACACCGATAAGTCCCATCGACCGCTGATGCACCTGGACGGGGCCGATCAATTCACATTCTAGGTAAGTTCGCTTTGTAGGCCGCGCGCGGCGATCGGGTCGGCGACTTGAAGGCTAACGTAGAATAGCAGGCATTAACGGGGGAAGGATAACTGCGGTCGTCGATCCTCTCCTAGGGGTTGGTTGACAGGGTTAATGCTACCTTACGGGTTACACGCTGCGCTAGTCCCCCATAGCGCACGCAGCAGAGGGACTCCCCCCTTGGATCCTGGTCCTCCCGTTGAAGAAACTTTCGGCCCAAGTCGAAGGGGATCGGTTGACCGGCTCTTGGAGGTCGTCGTCTCTTGGTCGTTGTTGCTCGAAAGCGCGAATTGGGAATTGATGCTATGGCATGTTTGCTGTCCATTTTATTTGAAAAACAATAACACCAAAGCACCGAATTCTTAGACGGGATGTTTTCTTATTGCGTCATCTACGGAGACGTTAAAACATGTTGTGCACATTCCGTCTAACACAAGAGTTTTCGACTTGACACTTTACTTGTAAAACCATTGTTTTTCATTCCCTGTTAGCTCAGAACGCGACCACTTTACAATTATATATCCTCTATTCTTGCACATACGAGCAGGACGTCACTTAGAAAGCTGTCAGACGTGATGGTCACAAGTCAATTCCTACAAGTCATATTGTGTATTGCAATATAATTGCTGTATCTGACACGGATGTATACGCGAGAGTAACTTAAGTATGTACCAGCTATTGGAGACACGAGAGCGGTAGGACGCCACATCGGGTACTATGATGCTGAGCTTCATCTGTTTTTGGCCTGCGCGCGCTCTGAAGTAGGAGACCCGCCGAAAGACCGTTGAAAACCAACAGCCGACGGGTAGCACTCATATGATTGACGAAGACGAAGCTCCATGAGGCCTACAGCTCCCGAAGGAGAGACAGCACAGCAAACCTATTGTATACAAAATGAAAAATTCCCTCAGAGAGAAGATTGATGCTATCAGCGTGTGCCTGAGGCACACTCCATGAATAATACGGACACCGCCGGGAAGACGATGCTGGAACGAGTGTTAGAGGGGGTAGAGACTACGCCCCCATCAAGTGTCATCATTGGGAAGAAGAATCAAGTTCCAGATATGCAAATTGACTTCAGACCCAAAAGGTCAAATGCGTCACGAGAAAAAAGAGTGGCTGAGGAAGCTTGGTCATATTCGTAGTTAAAGTAGCTGAAACGATGTATATTTGCAATAAACTTACTGTGTAACGAACATTAGAGATAGCGGCAGACAATTCTATTGGACGTAATTAAGGTATGTGTCGTAAATCTTAAGTCTTGTTAGCAATGGTCGAGTCCGATAATCGTACGGAGCTAGTCACCTGCAGATGACGTCCCAGCTCCCGCGTTCTCTAGCCCAGTGCAGATGAGCTTCTGCCACCATGCTCGCGCGCATGTACATGCCCTAAATACGTTCCAACGTCTCCGCCCAAAATGCTTATTTTCATTTTTAGTGCCGATAGTACATGTCCGTCGGCTACGGAATCAGGCACTATCGATTTCCATGCGCATCCACTCCTTCGTGGAGCCATGAAGGAGTGGATGCGCATGAAAATCGATATTGTGGCGGAGCGGTGATCACAGAAACCTTTCTGTGATCCCGACCTTCCACTGGTGCCCAAACTATCGACTGAAGGGGGGTCGATACCGTATGCTTGTCCTTCCTCACCTTATGTAGCCTTAGCCTAGGCGGGTTGCTTTCTCCTCGGTTAATCCGATCTTGGCGTTAAGGGGTCTGGATCGAAGGTGGGGATCGCGTGTAAACTCTTCACGCGATCGCAGCCAAACACTGGAGCCAAAGCTATCTCTACTCACTTTGGATCTCCCCTTTCCCTTCTTGATTGTCCACTTGAGCCGTCTATCTTCTGATCACTTGGGCCGTCACGTAGAGGCCCCTTGCTTGAACGCTGCGTCCGATCGCAGCTGACTTGATTTGAGTATACTTGAACCCTGGCCAAGTCTTCCAGGGGTGATCTGCTATACGTACGTGAGCTCTCTTTATTCAACGGGTGAGAAATAATCCAACCCGGAAAAGATAAGAAAACACTTGCACACCAGATGTTACCGATGTATACGAATACTTATACTAAAACTAGCCAAAGGTAAAACACCACCTATGGCTAACCTAAAATCAATACCTTGGCTATCCTAGCGAATCCAATACTTACCTATGTGCAATAAGACCAAAAGCTATCATCTTGAGTTCTTGAATGGCAGGACTCACTGCCACGCGCCGCTTTAGTCTTAATTGCGATCCGAGATATGTGGTCCACACCACGCGATCCGATCCGTAGACGACTTGAGCTTGATCGTGATCCGCATCGTGTGATTGATACTGCGGATCTCATCCGTTACCGACCGGGCGCGATCGCGATCCGTACTGTGTATTCCACACGATGCAATTCTTTTATCGACTCCATTACGTGTAATTCGGACTTAATGTTGAAAGGCCGCGACTGTTCGATCGAAGGGATGCGACTGGTCATGTGGAGGGGCGCGACCAGTGAATATGAAGGCATGCGACTTTGAGCATACAGTGCATTGCACTTAAGCTAAAGCATTAGGTGTTACGACACTTGCTTATAAGCGTTAAGTGCCAAGCACTAGATATTGATACCCTTTGTGTGTTTACGAACACTTGCTTTCACAGCATTATGTGCCTAGCACTTGCTTTTGAAGCATTGCAGTATTCACAACACTTAATTTATAAAGCACTTGTCCCTATTTCACTTGCTCCATCATGGATGATGCAATCCGTCGCGACATCTTTAGGGCCGATGACAGTGACGTTGCCTCTAGGGATGGCGGAGCCGAGTCTCCTTCGGGTCATAGTACCCCAAGATCATCACGCTTACCGAGCAAAGGACGCCGATCCTTTTAGGTGTCTTCTCCCTCAAGGAAACAATCGTATTGCGCCAAGCGCCACCACTTCCCTCGCGAGAGGTTACAGACGAAGAGGTAACCAGCCCTCTTGACGCTGCACAGCGTCGTCAACTTGATGATTAGGCCCGAGCGGCCGCTTTGGCACGGCCCGAACAAACATTTTTACGACGTGATTATGGGTTCGTGCCTCGGGACCCCAATGAGGAAGCTTGACAGCTGCATCGCAATCTTTGCGCATGTATGTCATTGGGTCCCATGCCCGTGATGCTTGCGAGGTTACGGATGGTGCTGCTCTTCATGAGTGGCTCCTTACTCTCCAGGAATTTACGATGAAATCGTATCAGGAGCGACTGTCACGACAGTCACGTGGAGTTTCCGTGAACCCACTGAACGACATCCCAGTAGTGCTTGCACCAGGTGAAACATCTGAACAAGATGAGCACCAGTTCACCCGTTGGGTTGAACGAGCATGTAAGCTCTCAAGTTTGTCTAACTTCGTTTGCGCTTAAGCGCAAGACTTTTGGTTAGAGCGTTGTATAAGTTTTAACTTCGCTAAGCTCAAAGCGAATCGTCAATTACCCTCCACATACAGGTCAAAGACCTGTGGGGATCAATCTTCTGAAGCTGTTGCCCGTACCACTCACTCGAGTGATGTACCGACATCGGCTTTTTCTGAAGGTCAGAGGCAAAGCCATTCTACTTACCTTGCTTCCACAGCACCTAGTGCCAGGAAGGGTCCGACGACGGCTGTCGTCGCGTCTGACCGTCCTGGTCAAAAGCGTCAACGGCGTCAGGGCAATCCTGCCGGAGGGGTACCTCATACTCCCACGAGTCATACGACTGGGGGTAACCCCTCCACTTCACCAAGTATTGGGCATGAGCCTGGTGACAACGCTGAGC